TTTTTCCATTTTAAAAATAGAGTAACCAAAATGCACTACACCATAATATAAGAACTTGTATGTACATCTGCCATGTCTCCTTAATGTTTCTAAATATCAACTTTGAAATCTAATGATTACAAAAATAATTAAATTTTGATTATAATATTCTTTTTTATTAAACTAAGATTTTTATAAAATAGTATTTGTTCTAGATATTCTTAGACCATTTGACAATGAATGTTCAAATTACTCTTACAATCGCTAATGCTCGAACCCATAACGTCTGTATTCGAGCTCGAGCTAGTGCTTGAAACATTATGTCGTAAAGTCATTGCTTCAAAGCAACGATGATGCTAGTAAATATCATTAAAATATGATTTTATCATATCCCAATAAGTAGGTTAACGTCCAACTTAGACGACTATCATTTTTTAACAAAAAAGGACGAGTTTGAAACACATGAATAACCGGATAACCATTCTATAACTTTTAATAATCAGAGAACTCGACAAAACATCACTCTATAGTCAATGGACTATTTGTGTAATTTTCCCTTTTTCTATTTGATATGAAAATTATCATACAATTGTCATAATTGTATAACTTTTAATAATCAGGAACTCGACAAAACATGAATAAGACTCGTATAGCCATGGAATCCAAGAATCATAAATCAGAGAAATTTAACATGAAAGATGTTGTGACTAATGTTGAGAACTGTGAGAATGAACTGAAGCAAGTAAAATCGTAATTGCCAGATAAAAAACAGTTTGATGAAGTTATCATACTCAAAAATCTATTGAAAAATATCGAAGATATTCTCAAAACGGAAAAAAAAAATTACGAGATGCCCTGGAAAATTGAACGATGATACTATTATTGTAAGTAGACGTATTAAGAGTCGGAAAAAAAGATAAATCCGATGTGATTTCTGACTCGAATCAAGCTGTTGTTGCTTGTTTACAGTGCCGGCCCCGTTTGTACTTTGATGGGGTTCTTTGACGACACATTTTTAATTTAAATAAATATTTATTTCGATTTAAAAAACAATTTTACGTATTTTATCATGGTCCTAAATAATTTATTAAAAAAAATTGAACCACAACCTAGTTTAACTCAATGAAATATGGATGTAAACAACACGACTAAAGGTGTACAATTGAATAAAGTTTCAAAGTAATTATAGAGCTTAATCCTTTTCTGAATTATTTAAGCATTAATAATGTACAATTCATCTGCTTTTGTTTTGTTTTCTTATTTTCAGTACTTGCTTAATTAATCACATGATTATGTCGGCATGTTTTCTTATAGTAAACTTAAATATGACTTTATCTTTTAATTATATTAATTTAGTTTTTAAATTCATTTAATCGATTTTTGTGTAATTTTCTTATCGACAAAAACCGTCATCGAATATCACAATATTAGCATGATAGTTAATTATACTAAAATAGTGGTCCATTGTGACATTATCGGTAGTTGACATGTGAATAATAATACGACAAAGTGTCTTAATTAATTTTTTCTAATTGAATTTAAAGGCTTTATTGTTTTTTACAAAAATTTAAGAGTTTATTTAATCTTTAAGAAAAAATATTAAAATATTAAAAAAAATTAAAAACTATTAAAAATAAAAATACTATTCAAATTCAAAAATTAAATAAAAATTATAAGATTAAAATTGTCAAAATTATAAATAATAAATTATTAATTATTTAAAATTAAAATTTAAAAATATTTATAAAATACTAAAAGTTTTTAATACTTTCATCGAAAAATATCTTGTTTCATCAGTGTAAGCCTACTACTATAGATTGAACATATTTTCAATAAAATCAACATTATATTAAAATTATAAGATATTTGTTATTAATATGAGATGAATACAAGATAGTATCTATTCAAAGACTCTCAATCATTTGAGATTGATCGCTCGGACACTCCTTTGTCGTTGCCGGAATCTTGAAGTTGCTCTAGTGCTTTCACTACGGCAGGCATTTTCGGTCTATACTTGGGTTCTACAGAAAGGCATTGCAGTGCGAGATAAGCAGCTTTTAACGCCGCTTCCTGCGTGTATTGCCCTTTGATACGACCATCCATTATTTGGAACATCTTGCGTTTGCTGGTAAGGTAAGGCTTGGCCCAATCGACTAAATTATGTTCTCCCGACGGTCTGTTCTTGTCCAATGCTCGTTTTCCGGTTAACATCTCGAGAAGAACAACCCCGAAGCAATACACGTCGCTTCTTGCTGTTAGATGGCCTTGATAAGAACAAAGTAAGTTAAAATTTGATTCGCTTCAGAAAGACGGTTGTCAAGTTGAAAAGCTACCTGTTGCAATGTACTCGGGAGCTGCATAGCCGTAGGTACCCATCACCCGAGTCGAGACATGGCTTTTATCGCCGGTTGGTCCATCCTTAGCTAGACCAAAATCAGAGAGTTTTGCATTGTAGTTCTGTCATTTTACATTTCGAACAAGAAAGATATGAGAAAGCTGCAAGAACCGAAAGTACAAATAGAGAATTTCGCTTATTAAGTCTGGCGTTACCGAATCAAGCAAGATGTTCGATGTTTTGAAGTCTCGATATATCACTTTTGCCTCATCGGAATGTAGAAATGTAAGACCCTTGGCAGCACCAAGAGCAACCTTCATCCGAAGGTTCCAAGAAAGTGGTTGAAAATAAGAATTCCCTGCTTCATTGCAATAAGATATATATCCATTAAAAACGGAGACAATCGAACTGATTAACTAAAGGAAGTTTTAAATGAATGAACTCCTCACTTCTAAAAAGATGGTTCTCCAAGCTGCCTTTCGGCATGAACTCGTAAACCAGAAGCCGATGATCGTCTTCTAAGCAGTAGCCGACTAACTTCACGAGATTGGGATGATAAAGCTGCCCCAGATAGTTGATTTCAGCCTACAAGCCACATGAATCATTAAAATTAACAAACTATTTCATCAAACAAAGTTGTATTTCTTAACATCGAAGGATGTTCCAAGAAGTTTATTCCTTTCACCATCGTTGTTCGACCAACCTTTAGATGAAGTTTTCGTTCTCGAATCACATAAAATTAAGCAAGCCTACTTGTGCAGAGCTTAACAAAAGCGCTAAGCAATGATTTTGAAACTAGTGTGCATATATGGTGGCCCTAGAAACCCTCATGATCAAGACTTTGACGGCAATATCAAACTATTTTATCAAACAAACATCCAAGGATGTTTCAGTAAGTTCATTCCTTCACCACTGTTGTTCAACCCTACATTACATGGACTCGAGCTGCTACGGATATGTCTTCAACTCCAACACAACTCTGTCCAATTTTTTTTTCTATATTTCCTTATAACTGGAAAAGCATACTGATAAGCATGTTGAAATATCAGTTGGATACAGGCTCATACCCCATATCCAAGTGGTAAAAGCTTAATCAAAGGGCTAAGCAAGGACTCTGAAACTACTGCAGAGCTCATATATATATATATATATATATATATATATATGGGTTAGTATCTACTTACATAATATAAAACTCTTTAAGTTTTACTCAAATTTAGGATCCTAAATCTATTTTCACTCATCCAACGGTACTAAATCTGTGTAAAACTAAAAGAGTTTTACATTGTGTAATAGGATCTTATCCCATATATATATATATACACACACATACATATAAAACATAGGACTCTGAAACTACTGCAGAGCTCATATATATAGGTTAGGATCTACTTACATAATGTAAAACTATTTAAGTTTTACTCAAATTTAGGATCCTACATCTATTTTCACTCATCCAACGGTACTAAATCTGTATAAAAATAAAAGAGTTTTACATTGTGTAATAGGATCTTATCCCATATATATACACATACATATAAAAGATACCCACCAGTCGAGCATTTGGAAGCAATACCAAACTAGTTCTTTAAAGAAAGTAGTTAACATCTAAGGATGTTTTGGTAAGTTTATTCTTTTCACCATTGTTGTTCAAACCTAAGTTATTCGGACTTTGCGGATAAGGATATGACTCCTACAGGAATATGTTCATGGCTTTCGAAGTTATCAAATATTAGGCAAATCATACCTGTGCCCCATACTAAAATATGTCTCGAATACAGGGGTCATACTCCATACCCATTTACATAGTAAAAGCTTAACCTAAGGCAAAGCAATTATTTGGGGAAGATACACACACACACATAAAAGATAATAAGTTCAATAACAAACTATTTCATCAAACAAAGTAGTACCATTTTACATCTAAGGATGTTTCAATAAGTTCATTGTTTTCATGATTGTTGTTCAACCCTATTCCATATATGTGGAGAATCATACCACACCTATATGTATATATGCATCAGACACACACACGTAAGATACTCCATAAGTTCAATAACAAACTACTTCATCAAACAAAGTAGTACCATTTTACATTTAAGGATGTTTCGATGAGTTCATTCTTTTCACCATTGTTGTTCGAACCTACCTTACACAGGCTCAGGCAGATTCGACATAACTATGTTCAAACCTTTATAAATTTTCCATATATGTTGAGAATCATACCACAACTATATGCATTTGTTCAAACCAAACCGCACATATATAGTAAAAGCTTAACCCGAAGCTACTGCAAATCCTTTTAACAGGGGAAAATGTAAAACTCACCAGCCATTCATGGTGGCCTTGAATACCCTCCTGGTTAAGCCTTTTAACAGCAATAACCATGCCAGTACCAGGCTTAGAAGCTGCGAATGAATTCTCATCGATCCAACCCTTGAAAACACAACCGAAACCGCCTTCACCGAGAACGCTATCAGGTCGAAAATTCCTGGTGGCTGTTCTTAATTCACCGAAATTAAAGCTCTTCAAATTGGAAGACTGAAGAATGTCCCCCTCGGTTCTAGGCACTGAAACCTGGCTGCTTGAACCACTTGTTTCATTAACACACCTTGAATTAGCCCCTGCAATACATCAAACACATAAACATCTCAAAAAGGGTACTTCAAAAACATCTCAAAAGAAGCTAACTTGATTAAAAAATCTGGGAAAAAAGAAAGCATACCATTGTGAGGAGGGCTCTCAGCTTTAATTCTGGAACTAAAGCAAGACCCCATGGGGAAAAAAAGCTCAGGGTGTTTAGCTATTTGCTAATTCTTTCAATCCAAAAGGAAAACGGAGAAGAAAATAGAGACTACAGAGAAGAATTTGAGGGAAAGGAAACTCAGAAAACAGTGAAAAGTTGAAAATGTTTTTTACATGCAAATCTTGAGGTATTTCGGCTGTCACCCACAAGGGTAAACAAAAGTTTGATTGATTAAACAAAAGATGAAAAGGAGAATAGAAAACCCATCATCATTGTAAAAGTCAGAAAGAGCAAGCCAAGTTTGAGAAACGGTGGGCTATGGCGTTTTTTTTTTGGCTTTTACATGTTTGTTTGTATGTTTTTGTGAGAAAGCTCGAACACTTGTTTAGAAGTGAAAGGTGGCGGTAAGTTAATGTATTATAATTTCATCGACATTAAGAAATTTTGAAATAAATAAATTTATCAACCGGTTTCAGTGTTGGAAATTAATCTTATTTTTTCTTAAAATTTTAGGTTTGTTAAGAAAGATGATGAACAAATATTACTTTTATAAACAATCATTCAAATCAAATAAATTTATTTAATTACGAAAAGTGCAGTTCCCCTAATGTTTATAGTTATACCCATGTGTCTGGATCTCAAATTTACTCGTACAGTATGGTGCAACACAAAATTTGATGCCATACACTCAAATAAGAATGGACACAGCGTTTAAAGCTCGTTAGAGTAACAATATAAGAATAATGCACTGAACATTTCGTATAGGACGTAAAACAAAGAAATAAAAACAACCTCCACAAGATAAATACACATTTAAATCGTATGTCTATAACCACCAACGAGTAGAGCATGAAAGGCATAAGAAATATTGAGGGGAACGACAGTTTAATCCCAATAGGCAAGAAGCACAGTTATTATAGGGATCCAAAAACATCAACCTACCATGCACCACCGATGGCTTTTCCTGGAGAAGCTCCTATCCATTTGTCCGACAAACCTGACCATCATTTTCACATCTTTCCCGTCTCAATACAGAGGGTGATCTCCAAGCGATATCTTCTATTGTGATGATACTCTTCTTCACACAAATCAAATCCCAACCCAGCTGGCTTTTGCTACATGCTGTTCACAACTTTAGATAGGAATCAGATCTAACATAAATATTACCTTCAAGAAAGGAAAGAACTCAAGTTAAGAACAAAATATCGCTAAAGTATGAACTTTCCAAGGATCCAGGACATCCACATCTTTTAAAACCAAAATGCAATCTCAGTTTGGTCCTCCTGAGATGGCACGGAAGCTCGCATTAGGGAACAAAATGTTTTCAGTAACACCTAAGACATGAAAAAAAAATTACATCATCTTCCTCATCAAAAGAGAAATTAATAATATAGAAACATCATCAAACACTTCTGACTATAAAAGAAAGAAACTCCATCATATCACATGGTTCTGGACCTAAAGCATCCCATTCCACTATTTGACTTTTGGTTAAACCAAGTTCTCGAGCAAGCACTGAAGCAAGGCACCATCCATACGGAATTGACTAGAGGATTAGTGAATCCGAGGCCAGCTAAAATGAGCCAATGAATCAGAATGCACTAAAACCAAAACAGCATGCTCCTAAAATTAAAAAGAAAGGACTTACAGCTCCCGTCCTTCTCAAGCCTGGAAAAGAAGAGAGGAAAGGAAAAAGAAAAAGAAAAAAAAAGAACCCTTGTTAATCACCAGTATTAAATGAATCCCAACAGAGGTTAACCATGCACATAAGAAAATCAGCCAGCTAGTACTTTTGCCAAAGTTCCTCCCATAAAGGTGAGAACTAGTAACGGATATATCTCTGCGATCAGAAATTGAAAAATAAAATAGAATAAGATTCTCAACAGAAAGTAAGGAAAACTTCTGAAACATCAGATGAGTATCGAAAGTAAGCAAATGACAACCATATGAAACAGCATATTTATTTTTGGTTTCACTGGAGATTTATGAAGTTAACCAAATAACCACAAATATAGTGAACAAAAGCAAGCGAGAAATTATTAAAAGTTCTATTTCAAGAAGAGCTCATGAATCTAGACTCCAGAACATCTTGACATGACAGTCAGAACGAAAATCAAAGAGAAATAACTTATGCACCTCAAAAGATGTTACTTGATCGATAGGGGATTAAATCTCTAAAATCAACCATAAGCCTAAAATTATCATCTCCTTTGCTGAGCACGATCAACGCCATTGTCACCGTCGCTGCTCTTGGCACCTCTCTTGTAGATCGTTATCGACTCGTCCATCCGTTGGCCCCACCATCGCCCACCCACATAATGCCCTATCCATACTTTCGTGGATTGCAAATTGCAAATTGCGACAGTTTGGGATTACGAATTACAATCCGATTGAGAACACCGGTAAATTCATGCAGCAACGGCGAAAGTAGAGGCGACATTGAAAACAACGATAGTTCCGACAGTAACACTGGTGAACCCAATATTAAATTTTGGTATTTGGGTTTAGGTTTTGGATTGAAGGATTTGAGACAATGACAAGGGAATGTTCGATAATGGGTAGATAGGCGGTAGAGGCAGCGACGACGATAGGGCCGGCCGTCGATGGGGTTTATGCTTTAGAATTAAATATTTTGAGACTTTTTTGATATTTTAGATAAATTTTGGGTTATTTTTTTAAATATACTTTTAAATTTTTTTAAAAACAAAATTAAGTATTTTATTTTCAAATAATTTTTTTTTAAATTATAGAAATACGACGCATGTTATTTAACGAATTTTTTTAATGATTGTTATTGCAAGACAATTAAAATAGTAATGTTTATAACGTTAAACACATAAATCGACAAAAAATAAACACTTAAATAATATATATATATATATATATAATTTAAATACTTTTTTATATTAAGTCTATATTTTAAATATCAATAATTTTAAACAAGATTAAATATATTTAAGTCATCAGTACATTAATTTATACATTATAATGATTACTTTGATTGTGACTATCTTAATATTGTTAATTACAATAATAATTGTAATCATATGTAGATATGATTTATATTTGTAATTAAAACCAAAAACATTATTTTTTAAGGGGAACTTGAATATATATATATATATATATATATATATATAACTTTATATATTTCATGTGCAAATATATATTTTAAGGTTAGAATGAGAGAAACATTGTAGTTGAAAAAAATAAGGGGATGTTTGTTTATTTCAGAATGATTAAGAGCTAAATGATTCAAATGTTGAATGATTCAGAGGCTCTGTATGAATTAACTCTGAATGTGACATGATATTTGATAATGACTCTGAATCATTCAGAATATACTTCTGTGCTGAATCATTTAGCACTGTTTTGCTAAATCAATCAATACTGAATCATTTAGAGGTGAGAAACAAACAGTCTGAATGCTGAACGGTTTAACATTCAGCACAAAATGATTCAATTTAAAACCAAATAAACAATCCCTAAATTAAATTTAGTTCGAGATTATTTGGAGATTAGGATTGACTTAATGATATGCACCAAAATCGTCATACAATCTTGATAATTGACGTAAAGTTGTTCTCCATTCTCTACGACTTCGTATGATCATTTATAAAAAAAAATTTGAAACTCATCGTGCTTTTCTAATAAATTGTTTTGATTTTTTAATGTCGTCGTAACTATCACATGATTGTCATACATACAATAAAATTTTTATCTAAATTACACGACAATTTTTTTTTATTAGAAATATAAAAAAACTCACCAGAAAAATGGACGACGAGTTCCCTTTAAATTTTAAAGAAAAAATCTTATAAAATTGAGCAAAACCGACCAAATAAGGAAGTGAAAAAATTCATATGTTTTAGTATTGATATTATTTTCTCAAATAAGGTGCTTTAAATAGCAACACATGAAAGACACATTAATTAAAAAATATGAAAGAAGCACGGAGTAGTAGATGTCTTTTGCGTTGTTAATAAATGACGCATGGAATAATATGCATATTCATAATGGTCTAAGAAGACATGAGTGTGTACCGATAATAAAAACACAAGAAAGACATCGGATCTTCTATATATGTTCATGAAGACATCAAATAATCTAAATGACTTTAAATACGCACGATAAAATCACCCCAATTTTTTTTAAAAATAAATTGAAGTGTTCATGAAAAATTTTCTCCCAATTCACTATTTTTGCATAATTTTATCTATAAAATTATTTGAAAAAAAGCCGTATAAAAGGGACGACTTTGTCTATTAAAACAAATTTAATACATATTATATAATAAATTCCAAATTATTAATAATTTCAAATAATCTTTTTCACTATATTTTTAAATAAATTATAAGTTTAATACTCTAATTATTATTTTGGTACGCTTCGATTTTATTTTGGTAAGATAATGTTAAAAATTAACAGAACTACTATCACGACATTTTTATTTTTTCAATTATGATATAATATTATTTTATGGTGACATATCAACATCGCTGTTAAATTTTTAACAGAAAATTACTAAATTAAAATTAAACATTAATTAGGTTTTGAGAAAAAAAATTTGAGTGAACAATAGTTGAGATTCTAAGCGTACAATTTACTCTTATTTTTTTTAACTAATCATTTTACCATGAAATTTTTTACCGGATATATAAATTTTCAAACGCGACTTCTAGAATTGTAATGATTTCTTAACCACAACCGTTCGATCATCCAACTCATTGAGATTCGTAGTGATGAGAAGCTTTTTGGTTCTCGTTTAGAATTTTAACAAATCCCGCCCATTTTTTCGAATTTCAAATTCAAATGTACTCGGGCTTTTACTTAACTATAGAACTAACGTTACTCTCCGATCAACATTTCCAGCAGAGCAAAACCCTAAACGAATCCCAAATCCGCCATGGTTACTGATTCAAACCTTCCGCTGCAAAGCGGCAACAACGCAAACATCAAGGCCTCGAAGACCATAGAAGAAACCTACCAAAAGAAGACCCAATTAGAGCACATCCTCCTCCGGCCGGACACATACATCGGTTCGATCGAGCAACACGCCCAGAAGCTGTGGGTTTACGAGAACGATGAAATGATCCATCGCGAGATCAAGTACGTGCCGGGACTTTACAAGATCTTCGACGAGATCTTAGTAAATGCAGCCGACAACAAGCAGCGGGATCCGACTATGGATTCTCTCAAAGTGGTGATCGATGCAGAGCAGAACTTGATATCCGTTTACAACAACGGAGATGGGGTTCCGGTCGAGATTCACCAGGAGGAGAAGGTTTATGTGCCGGAGTTGATCTTTGGGCATTTGTTGACTAGCAGTAATTACGACGATAATGTTAAGAAGACGACCGGTGGGAGAAATGGTTACGGTGCGAAGCTTACTAATATATTTTCAACGGAGTTTGTTATCGAGACCGCTGATGGAAAGCGGAAGAAGAAGTACAAGCAGGTAATATTTTCTTTCTTTCCGATTTTCCCCTGAGTTCCGATTTCTCTGCGACAGTGTTGATTTTTTTATAATTGAATATTGGTTTGAAAATTGATTTCCTCTCAAACTTCTGACTCGTCTTGTAGGTATTTAGAAACAATATGGGAAGCAAAACTGAGCCTTTTATAACGAAATGCAAGGAGGGTGAGAATTGGACAAAGGTTACTTTTAAGCCCGACTTAGCCAAATTTAATATGACTCACTTGGAGGAAGATGTGGTTGCATTGATGAGGAAGAGGGTGTTTGATTTAGCTGGCTGTCTTGGCAAGACTGTTAAGGTTGAGTTGAACGGGAAACGCATTCCAGTGAAATCATTTCTCGATTATGTCAACCTTTACCTTAGCGCCGCCTCTAAAACTAGGACTGAAACTCTCCCAAGGTCTGTATTATTGATTCCATTGTGTTTTTGTTGCATATGCCTATTGAAGGGGTTATTCTCATTTAAAGATGTTTATTTTTCCAGGATTCCCGAGAAGGTTAATGCTAGATGGGAAGTTTGTGTGAGTATTAGTGAAGGGCAGTTTCAGCAGGTATTATTTTCAATCTTTTAACTTTTTTGGACTGATTTTAAGAGTTGTTTATATTATAATAATGTTCATTATTGTTGCTGTACTTTGCAGGTCAGCTTTGTTAATGGGATATCTACAATCAAGGGTGGAACCCATGTCGACTATGTTACCAATCAGATATCTAATTATGTAATGAATGCCATAAATAAGAAGAACAAGAATGCTAACATCAAAGCACATAATGTGAAAAACCATCTGTGGGTTTTTGTCAATGCTCTTATTGACAATCCTGCTTTTGATTCTCAAACCAAGGAAACTTTGACACTTCGTCAGAGCAGCTTCGGCTCTAAATGTGAACTTTCAGAAGATTTTTTGAAGAAAGGTTAGTTAAAAAAGCTCACTTGTGTTTAGTTATAGAGAAGCGGTAAAGGGCTAATTAATCTGCTTCATGGTTGGTTAACTGCATTGCAGTTGCAAAGTCTGGAATTGTGGATAGTTTGCTCCAGTGGGCAGAATTCAAGCATAACAAAGATCTTAAGAAGACCGATGGAACCAAGTCAGGAAGTATTCGTGGGATTCCCAAGCTAGATGATGCTAATGATGCTGGAGGAAGGAATTCTGAAAAATGCACATTGATTTTGACTGAAGGGGATTCAGCAAAATCTCTTGCAGTATGTTATGATTTGTTAATATCTCCAATTCCAAGTTTTACTATGTTGCAGTGTTGCTATGTGAATCTTTTTGTCACTAACAGTGTTTACTTTTTGCAGTTGGCTGGGCTATCTGTTGTAGGCCGAAACCACTATGGCGTCTACCCCTTGAGAGGTAAACTTCTCAATGTGAGGGAAGCCAGCCATAAGCAGTTAATGGAGAATGCTGAAATACAAAATCTCAAGCGGATTCTTGGACTCCAACAGAACAAAGAGTACACAGATGTCAAATCCTTGAGATACGGGCATTTGATGATAATGACCGATCAGGTTAGTGCTGCTGAAGCAGTTTTCTCGTGGAATTTGCTTTTTATTTAATATCTTTGCTTGTGTTCATGCTAGTGACTGATCACCTTGCTTTTCTCACAGGATCATGATGGCTCCCATATTAAGGGTTTGCTGATCAATTTTATTCATTCCTTTTGGCCATCATTGTTAAAAGTAAAATCATTCATGGTTGAGTTTATAACTCCTATTGTGAAGGTAATGATCGCTAGAGTTTTCATGTCGAATATCTTGCACCAAGCTTTCTTGTTATTTATGCTATTGTTTTTTTGCACAGGCTTCTCGCATGGTCAACAAAAAGAAGGAAGAGATACCGTTTTATTCCATGCCGGAGTACCAAGCTTGGAAGGAAAGTTTGGGTGGTAATACAAAGGGCTGGACCATTAAGTACTATAAGGTTTCTGGCTTAAGCAGGATTGATTTTCTCTCTACTAGTTTATGCCTTTGTAGCCTTTCCTAACATATGAACATTTTGTTGTAGGGGTTGGGAACCAGCACAGCAGCTGAGGGGAAGGATTACTTTAAAGAAATTAATAAGCACAAGAAAGAATTTGTATGGGAAGGTGATCAGGATGGGGATTCGATCGAGCTTGCATTTAGTAAGAAGAAGATAGAAGCAAGGAAGAATTGGCTGCGACATTTTGAGGTCTTTATTATGATCAGTTTATGTTACTTTAAATGCATTTGTTCTAGAAAATCTAAATTGCGAGCCTCTTGATGAAATTTTCTTTCTTTTATGTATTGCAGCCTGGCACGCACCTTGATCACAATGAGAAGCTCGTCAATTATAGTGACTTCATTAACAAGGAACTTATTCTGTTTTCCATTGCTGATCTTCAAAGATCAATTCCTTCTATGGTTGATGGCTTGAAGCCTGGTCAGAGGAAGATCCTTTTCTGTGCCTTTAAAAGAAATTTTGTAAAAGAGGCAAAGGTTTCTCAATTTTCAGGTTATGTTTCAGAGCATTCTGCTTACCATCATGGTGAACAGAGTCTTATGAGTACCATTATCGGAATGGCTCAAGATTTTGTGGGCAGCAACAATATAAACGTTCTTCGTCCAAATGGTCAATTTGGTACTCGTAACCAGGTTAGTTGATTTTCGTCTCAGGCTATCACTTCAATATGATTAGTGCTCTTTTCACCACTTAGACTGCTGCTTTCACATGTCACAGGGTGGCAAAGATGCTGCAAGTGCTAGGTACATATTTACTAGTCTTTCTCCAATTACCCGATATCTATTCCCCAAGGAAGATGATGGTCTGCTGGACTATTTGAATGAAGACGGTCAATCAATTGAGCCTTCCTGGTAAATTCAATGTCTCAGTCACTAATACTTTCCGCTGGAACTGCAAATGCATAAAATTAATGCCTTTTTTCCCCTGAATTTTTAGGTATGTACCTATTATACCTATGGTTCTCGTCAATGGAAGTGAAGGAATCGGGACGGGGTGGAGTTCTTTCATTCCAAACTACAATCCGAGAGACATTGTAGCAAATGTGAGGCGCCTGCTCAATGATGAACAAATGGAGCCCATGCATCCATGGTACAGAGGTTTCAAAGGGACAATTGAGCAGACTGCATCAAAGGAATCTGGTGTCACCTACACCATAACTGGAGAGATAGAGGAGGTTAATGAGACCACACTAAAAATAAAGGAACTTCCAATCCGTAGATGGACTCAAGATTATAAGGAATTCTTGGAATCTGTCATAACCTCAAATGATTCATTCATCAAGGTAGTTTGTTCTACTTTCAAATGACGGTTTCTATTTACTTATTTATCATCATAACTTCAATCTCATGATGTTGTAAGCTGCTTGTAGGAATTCAAACAATTCAGTGATGATAAAACCGTAGACTTTGAGATCATCATGACCATGGAGAACATGATGTTGGCCAAGCAAGACGGGTTGCTGAAGAAGTTTAAACTAACAACAATGGTTAGCACGAGTAACATGCACCTGTTCGATTCAAGAGGGGTGATTAAGAAATACGACAACCCTGAGGAAAGTAAGTGCTAAACTAATCCCTATATTGTTTAGTGGTTATAGTAATGAATAACAAGTTGTGACACTGACTGAACTTAATTTGTGTATATGCAGTCCTTGAGGAATTTTTTCACTTGAGGTTGGAATTTTACGTGAAACGCAGGGTAAGGACATTAGAGTTTGTTCTTAGCTTATTGAAATGTTTGAATCAATATATTGATTACTAAAGAACCTATCTTTTGCTACAGAAACATGTGTTGGACACTCTTGAACTGGAGTTGTTGAAAATGGATAACAAAGTTAGGTTCATTCTTGATGTTGTAAAGGGGGACATCATTGTGAACAATAGGAAGAGAGCTGATCTATTCCTTGAGCTGAAAGAGAAAGGTTTTACTCCTTTTCCAAAGAAGAAGAAAGTGGTGGAAATAGCCGTGGCTGGTGATATCGATGGTGAGGAACCTGAGGACAACTTCGAGGCTAGCGCTGCAGCAATCGAGAGTGATTATGACTATTTGTTGTCGATGGCAATCGGTACCTTGACCCTGGAGAAGGTTCGTGAGCTTATTGCGGATAAAGATAAACTCCAGCATGAGGTTGAGTATTGGAGGAAATCAACCCCAAAGACATTATGGCTGAATGACCTTGATGAACTTGAGAAACAGCTAGATGTATGGACCCTGAACTAGTTTTCCTCTTGAATTGATTACTTGTCATATATTGACGTTCTCATGATGTTTTGGTTAATCAGGAGCAAGATAAAGCTGATCGGGAAGCTGAAGAACAGCATGGTCAAGACCGAGCGAAGAATGGAGCTGGCAAGAAGGCTGCCGGGAGACAAGCAACTAAAAACACCAGGAAGCCTACTAAGAAAGACCAAGCTGTTACAGAAACCTCAGATTTTTCACTCAGTTCAATGGAAACAGGTTTTCTTGTGATCCTAATTTCTTATTCCTTTTTCACTCTAACATGGAAGATTTCGAAATCGAAAATGATGAGTTCTTCGACTTGATTGAACCAGAAAATGTTCCTGCTGCTGTTGTGAAACCCAAAGGCCGGGCTGGTGCAAAGAAGGCTACGAAGGTTCGGTTGTTGTTTTCATATGTATTATACTCTCTCCATGGTTGGTATTTCAACTGATCTTTTGTTACGTCCATATTAATGGCAGGCTGACAGCGATGACGATGACGGCGACTTCGATATTCCCGATCTACGGGAGCGTCTAGCCAAGCACAACATTGATTCCTCTCCTGATCATTCTGCTAGTATGTTTTTATCCTAAACTTTGATATTCGACTCCATGTATGGTAGTAGTCAGGGATGCACCGAGGGTACCGGAAATGCGGCCGTACCTCATAAATTCGTATTCCTAAATTTCTAAAATAATGTCTGAAATTCGAACCTGACATAAAGTTGTACGTCTGTCTGTCGTAGTAGATTTGTTCATTGAATGAATGTTGATCATATCATATTGTCACAGATATGGAAACTGAAGTGGCCCAAGAGCCTGCCGGAAAGAAAGAACCTAGCAAAAGGGCACCTGCTGGTAAGAAGAACCCTACCATATCTCTCACTGAGATTTCAGAAAGTATAGGCGAAATCAACATCAGCGATGAAGACGTGGAAGTAGCATCACCAGCCAAGAAAGGTGGTCGTAAACCGGCTTCAAATTCCAAAGCCGGTAAGCCACCGGCCGCGGCTGCTAGAAAGAGAGGTCCGGCTGCTGCCAAGCAGCAACAACAAAAGCTTTTAACTCAAATGCTGAAGCCTACTGCATCGGTGACAGAAAGTTCAGGGATATCACCTGAGAAGAAAGTTAGGAAAATGAGGGCGTCGCCTTTTAACAAGAAGAGCGGTTCGGTGTTGGGTAAGGCGAAAGGTTCTTCTTCGCTGCCTTCGATGGAGGAAATCGACAGTGATGAAGAAGATGAAGAAGTGGCGGTGGTTGTGGAACCGAGAGCCAGACCTCAAAGGGCTAACAGGACGAAGACAACGTATATTGTTAGCGATTCAGAAACGGAGGAGGACAACGCTGCTGAGGATTCGGATTTTGAGGAGCAGTAACTATGTACTTCGATTGTTCTTCTGCGTAGCATATCACTCGTATGTCGAACTTATGATTGTTAGTCGATGTTGAATTTAATGACTGATTTGGTGTATAATCGTAAAAGTAGGTTTCTGACCAAAGCAATATTGATGGAAATAACGAGTTAAATTAGGTTAACTTAATTTATTATAAAAAATATATATCTTTCGGTTGAATTAGTCTGATTTTAGAATTATATACTATTTAGTGTTTCTATTTGATTCAAAGAGCATATTCTTTCTATTCAAATTTGATACAATTTAATTTTTTAGAGTATAAATTTGATTCAATCTTGTTTGATATGATATAAAATAGTGATTAAATTAAAAAATTTATAGTGAGAAGGAGTATTATAATAATTTTAAATTTATAAAAAGATACTATTATCCAGAATAAAAGGTTTTTCACCTTTCATTTGAATTTAATCCGACTTGGCTCAAAATTAAGTTTATTAAAAATGATTTTGATTGAGTTGAATAAACTTAAAAATTTATAAATTAATCCAATTGAGTCGAACCAACTTAAAAACTGAATTTAAAGTTGGAAGAAAAGGTTGGTCAACGAATAAACAATCACGTGATTAAATATCGAATGAGATTTGTTTTATCATAAATTGGATGAATAATTTAAAGTGAGAAACAGATTCAATAAAAAAATCTAATAAATAATCTTAATATTAACATTTTATAAATATAAAATAACATTAAGTTTAAATCTACCTTTATTACTCAACTAACTACACATGCTAAACATTCATTACTTGTTAGTTATATTATATTATAGAAGGATCAGTTTGACTGATTCAATGTGTTTTTCTTTTTCAATTGTTAAGTATTCAAACATTCAATTCTTTATCAGTTATTAGTATTCAAACATTCAAAACTTTGAATTTGACTTGGTTATCAAAAAACAAAACTTTTTTTTTTGTTATAGGAAAAAAAAACTTCTAAATACATGATTACATAAATAATTATATATATACATACATACATGTAGAGATGACCGCACCCCCGAAAAAATTTAAATTCCTATAAATAATTTTTTTTGTATTTTATATTGATGATATAATTTTATATCTTTTGAAATTTTACACCTCTAAAATTTTAATATAATTTCCTAAATTCGTACATTTAAAAGAAAATCATGGGTTTGTCTTTAGTTATAAGGATAATTCTTTAGACTTTTTTTTTCATTCACAACTTTAAAACTCGAATTCATAACCTTATATAATCGACATAATGTCTCGTCCCAAAATATAAATTTTTATTTTTAATTAAAGTACAGATTAATTTATTTAAGAAACAAATTCCCCAAAAGAAATTCCAATGAATCTACCCCCAATTACGTACTCAATTCTAAAAAAAACGTTTTGAACCCTCTTTAGAATAAAAATACATTTTATTATGAAAATATCCGAAAAATCATTCTCTAAAATTAATTATATTATAAATTTTCTATTTTTAATAGATTACAAAATTATCTAAATTGTTTTCAAATAATATAAAAATATTACTATAAATAAAACAAAATGAACAAAACCTTATTAACAGTACAATAAATGTTGGTTATCCAACAAAAATATTATTTATATTGAGAAAACAACCGAGGTTCATATCTGTAATAACAAAACAATCGCAAGCCCGTTTCCGTCATTTCACATCTCCGCCATTAAAAATAAAATGCTCTTCGTCTCCGTCGAATTTCGTGAGCAGTTTCCCCATCTTCTCATTTTCAGTCAAACTTACGTGAACGACCCCTCTCGAGTTCTTTTTGGTGGTTGGTGTTGAAATTGCAAGGAGGGAACGGGGAAAATTGTGATCGGACGACGGAGGAGGTGTGTTGGTGAACGATGACGGGGTGCAGCTTATGGATATCAACGGGGGATCATCGGAACAACGATATCAATTCGAATAACAATGGTTTGTGGGGGTTTAGCAACGAAAGAGAACACGATTTGGCTTTGATGGTTAGCGATTTCCTGGAAAACAACGGTGGTAGCGGCGGCGCCGATTCTTGGTGTAGCAGCGACAGCGAGTCGGGTTTCTCCGATCTTATCCACCTTGCTGATAAAATTCCCGTTAGTATTTAGCCATTTTCCCTTTTAAAATATTTGTTTCCTTTTCTGTAGTTTATTATTTGTATATTTTTTAGATTTTTCATATTGGGTTTTGAGGTTTATTGTTATTTTCTTCTCTCTTTATGTATATAATTTGTGTGAAAGAACTAGCTGAATTAAGGGATATATATTCATAATATGAAACAAAGCCTTGATATTGAACATGAATATGAAGCTTTATAGATTTTTTTATTTAACATTAGAGACTCCTTTATATATTGTTATTGTTCATAATTCAGATATGCTTATTGTTATTGTTCATAATTCAGATATGCTTATTGTTATTGTTCATAATTCAGATATGGTTATTGTTATTGTGATTTGCCTCTTTTATTAGCACAAATGATGAATGGTATTTTAGATTAAATTAAATGAATAAATTCCGGATACTGTCATCTGAGCTCATGTAACTCAGTCCGATATTGTTACAGATAACGACACTAAACGATTGCAAAGCTTGCAAAGCAATAAGAAATAAAATGATAAGAACACACAGATTTACATGGAAAATACTGACAAGGGAAAAAACACCGATATAGTAGAAGAATTTCATTATAATCAAGAAGATTATGCGAGAGTACATCAAACCCTATAATCCTATATGTATATATATAGTTAGTCGGACACAATAACCGAATTTGGTGTTTGTGTCATTTTATATAGTTCGGAGTATTGTTTTTGAATCAATAAGCATGGGAATTTGCTGATTCTTTGTACTTTTAAACTCTCTTTCTTTTCCCACCAAAAGCATTTACTAAGTTTTATTGCCGTCTAATTATTTTGTTCTTTTCTGTTGTGTTGCAGTACCATAAGCACTCGGTCTGTCAATATGATTTGGACTTGTTGTCTGTGGTTCATTCGCTTGTATTATCGATGGCTGAGACAGACCTCCACTTTGTGAGTTCGGGTCCATGTAATGCGAGCTGCATTAGATATCATCTTGTAAAGCTGTTGAGGCTTTCTGGCTATGATGCTGCTCTGTGTGTATCAAGGTGGCAGCGTTGTGGCAAAGTTCCAGGAGGTACAACAGTAGCTTCTGAATCCTAAATTATACATATAGATGCACACATACATATATAGTATTTTCTCTGGATCATTTAAAATACCCGAGTTTGTTGTTGCCTAGGGGGTAGAATATAGGACTCTTATCGAGCTGTTTCTTTCAAGTTGTCCTGCATATGTTTGCTTGTGCGCTGGCATGAGACTTTGTTGCGGAAATTTCATTGTTCTGCTGCATCTGTATCTTTGTTGCCCGTATCAGAGTTTATCCATACCATTCATGATGAAATGAGTTTCAAGATTCTGTTCAATTAGTCTAGAATGTATGGTTCGTAATAATTTTTTTTGCTAGCTGTAAAAATAGTGATATTTTGCAACTTTCTGGGTTTCCTTCCCGCAACGGTTTTAGTTTATATGTTAATCCGTAAGATTAGTAATTTTAAGAAAACCAGTTTGTGACATATATATGCAGGTGATCACGAGTATATTGATGTGGTCAATTACAACAATGGGAGTTCTGAGCGTTTGATTATTGATATCGACTTCCGAAGCCATTTTGAGATAGCTAGAGCAGTTGATTCTTACTATCAAATACTGAATTCACTACCAGTTGTCTATGTTGGCTCCTTGGCTCGGTTGAAACAATTGCTTCAACTTATGGTTGAAGCCGCTAGGTCGTCTCTCAAGCAAAACTCAATGCCGTTCCCTCCGTGGAGATCTCTTGCTTATTTGCAAGCGAAGTGGCAATCACCCTACCAACGACAGATTGCTCCTATTGAACACGATATTATTGGCGGCAATGTTTCTTCTTGTCATAAACAGTGCAAAGGGCATTTAAGGAGGCTGCAGCCTTCGCTTCAGTCTGAATTAGAAGCAGAACGGCTACTGAAACCCATAAACATCGATAATACCAGAAGATTGAAGCATGACAGGGCAAGACGCTCATCATTCAGGGCTCTCTGACATGTACAGATTTTTGAACTGGGAGATTGAAATTCATTTTTTTACCTTTTTTGAGAGATGAATTGTATTGCGGCCTTTTCTTTTAGCTATTCTTTTTCTTGATAGTGAATAAGTGCGGACCTTGGAATGAAGGGTCGGTTCTTATGGCACATTAAGTCAATAACATGCAGTGTTTTGTTGTTCAGACATCTTCATTTCTTATCTCGAGCTGCGGAGCTATGCCTATGCTTCTCGTCAATATTTTACATGTTGGTAAGTAACAGTATTGTTTTACGAGAACAGCTTCGGAATTGTTTGGTCCGGAAAGTCTACTACACTATATAGATTCTTATGTGTTTCCCTAGCCTATTATTTTTACGAGGTCGGGAAGTTTGTCCTTAGAATTTTTTGTTATTTCTTCTTCATATGTGATTCTGTTGTGGGAAATATGGCTTCATATCTTTACATAGCCATAAAGAACATATGTTTTGATTACATATATACAACAATATGAAACAGTATATTAGTTGTTTTTGTTACTGACCCTGTTTTATGTTCTTGTCTCTGTTACTCAAAACGATCTATTTTGTGACATAAATTTTGTTTCCCCATTTCATTTAGAATAAGTCAGTCCTCGATGGGCACTCTCATTTGTTTATTTGGATTGGAGGTGCGGTAAAAATTAGTGATGCAATGCAGTGAAATTGTATATCGAAATGCCGAATAGAACCTCCTGGTTTCTCCCGATCTTTTATTTGATGATGCCTTTCTCGCGCTGCTCCTAAAAACTGGGCGGGGGAGACACATTCCTTGTCCTACTCGAGCTAGAGAGTTGCTCCCTAGAATTACGTGGAGTGTAACACTCTAAACTCTATCACCATAAGATGAGCAGATGCTACAGGTGGAGGGTTAACACTCTAAACTCTATCACCATAAGATGAGCTTAAGATGCTACAGGTGGAGGAGTTAACACTCTAAACTCGATCACCATAAGATGAGCTTAAAATGCTGCATTGACTTGTCGAAACAACACTAACTTCAAAATCTTTTCTTTTCACAGTATAAATTTATGTTATTATAAAAAAATACCAAATAGTTATAAATTATTTATGCAAATAGAAATTTCATGACAATTTGAAACAAATTAAACTAGTACAGTAATAATGGAATTTACATACTAAAATACATAAATAAAGATCTTATGAATACATATGTCCACTAAAGTGATTAATATTGTATTTTGGTATGAATGTTGGATCTCTTGTTGTGAAGATACTCCTCAAACAAGCTAAAGCTATTAATTACGAATGAAAGAATTACAAAGTTGAATTTATAAAAATTTAGTTATACACATATACTCTACTATATTATTTGTAATTCATAAATGTAAACAGGTTAGGCAATATAAGCAAGAGATACAAGCCTATGCTAATTGATATAAAAGATTCATTGTTTTCTATTTACCAATAGATTTATATAGTCCCCATATAATTTTATTCTAGATGATTTGATATAATATATCTTAAATTTTCATCTTTATCTCAATTTGGTTTACGATTCTAATGAAGGCTTTGTCGTTCGTGCGTGGATAACTTTTAGGGATGACTCTTGAAGTGATGTTTGTGTCTATGAAGTTGGTGGTAATGTATGTATATATATGCATGCATGTATGTAGGGAATGCAGCCTGAGTAATGATTATAACCATTGTTTTTATAAATATGTTTAAGGTTAATCTATTGTGTATACATTTGATTATGTGCATGTCATTTGGAAAGAACACAATTAAAGGCGGCTTCCTCACCTATATAGGGTTGTGGGAAAAATTATTTTCACATGTAAGACATCTATCATATTATTTTTTGATTTAGGGTTTTTTATTGGTCTAAAAACGCCGTGCATTTCTGGAATCTTCTCAATTTGCCTGAAGACACCATGTAGTCGTGGAATCTTCATATTTAACTTGAAGACGCTATTAAAACACCTGGCATCTTTAGGTTGATATTGTTTAATTCATCCTAGATGGGGAAATAATCTTCATGTTAGCTTATATTAGGAATTAAAAATTTTCACTTACATTATCTCAGCCATTTTGCCAATTAAAGTCTCATAAAGTCTTTTAATTTATATAAATGCCATTATGCAGGTTAGGATGGATTCTACTGTTGGAATGGAAAGTAGTAGTTCTTTTATAACAACTAGTTTCCTTGTTTTTTTAGATATAACTAAATTTGATTTATCAAAATAAAAGAAAATTTATGCTCTACGCACATGAATAAAATTATGTATGTTGCTTGAACAAATATTTTAGGACATTGATAACAAGTTAATAGAATGATACCGTAAAGTATTGGATTTAAATTGAAATTCACTAATACATCAAGGGTATTAACGTAAAAACCTTTAAATTGTTATAATTTCAACAAATACTTGCCATATATTTCTTTGGTATAATCATTGATATCCAATTTATTAATCAACTAATCCGAATTGAGTATTTCAAAGGCTAAAGCGATCATTCCAACTCAGTTTGTTTAATTATCAAACGTCAGAATTCAAACTCTTAACATTGTTTAAGAAATTTTGTGTCTTATCCCACTAGATCAACTGACTGTTGATTGTTGATCCATCTATTTTTTAGGATAACTACAATGGAGTATTCATTGTATATGGTCAGCCATTTATGGTATATGCACCTTATTTCAAGAAAAAAAATTAAGTAATGAAAGAAAAATAATCACTCAATTGAGTCTAAAAATGGCTTAGCATTGATTATTTGAGATTTTATTTATCCTCCCTAGGGTTTTCTATTTGGGTCCACTGCTTAGAAATTGGTTGGTATAATATGTTACCTTTTATTTCACTTATTTCCTTATTTGTCCCAATAAAAAGCAAATATTGAAAAATATACAATGCTTCTGGCGCCTATTTAAAGTGCAACAGCCAGAGCGATATAGGCATTCATCCAACAGGGGAAAAAAAACCAAAAGCATTAGAATTTTACAGGCTCTTTCACTGTGAAGACGATGGCGAGTGTTAGGGAGCAGCAAGCAAACTCGAGCAGGAAAATGAAATAGTCTCCACCATCTAGTTTTAGGGAGCAATACCCTGACTCCAGGAGGGGAAGGAGAGTGTCTCCTGCACCCGATAATAGGGAGGCACCCGATATTAGGGAGCAGATCTCCAGCTCGAGTAGAGCAAGAAATGTTTCTCCTTTTCTGGGTTTTGCGGAGCAGCGGCCACCACTAACAACAGTCACTTTTCAAATGATAAGAGAAAAGAATTGTCAAAGACGAGATCAGAAGAAATCAGAAGGTTTGGTTCGACATTTCGATAACACTGAATTTAGCTATAGTTGGTAGCAACCCAACCAACCAGGTAGCAACCAACTATAGCGAGGTTCAGTGTTATCGAAATGTCGAACCGAACCTCTTGGTTTCTTCCGATCTCTCCTTTGACGATTCTTTTGTTTTATCATACGTAAAGTGATCGCTATCAATGGTGACCATTGCTCCCCAAAAAGGTGAAGGAGACGGATTCCTTGCTTAGCTCGAGCTGGATAGCTACTCCCTAAAATTGGGTGGAGGAGACACTCTCCTACCCCTACTGAAGCTGGCGTGTTGCGTCCTGAAATCGGGTGGAGGTGATACTTTTCTTTTCCTACTCGAGCTAGCTTGTTGCTCTCCAGCACTCGCCATCACCTTCACTGAAAGAGTTTGGAAATGCTAATGCTTATGATTTTTTTTTATTGATGAATCCCTATATCGTTCTGGTTGTTGCACTATAAATAGGCACAAACAAGGACTCATCTAGAAAAGGCACTATAAATAAGCAGAGTAATCTGCTGTTTCCAGAGCAAAAAGTTATGATTATCAAAACGAACATTCACATATTGGTTTGCGATAACTTCATCTGACAATTGCAGGTTGAAAGATCACCACTATCCCAAAGGATTGATCAGTAGCAACGACGTGCGTATCTATGAAGAAGACAATTATACATCTCCAAACCTCACAAAATACAAGCGAAAATTTCACAGGCACATGGATTGATGATGAATGATAACATATTGAAAGATCACTAAAAGATTATTCAACAAAGAAGGCCAAAAGAAATCAGGCAAAGAAGACAACACAGAGGAAGAAGATGAAAGAAGATAAGAAGCAATGCAAACAAATAGATCTTCCAACAACAATGATGGGCGAACAGGCTGTCACGTATTATGTGTAGATATTAGATATTATATCTCGTAAAGCTGTTATTCATACATCTTCATGAGACATGTTCAACTAAAGGCTTGTACTCTTGGCATACAAAGTGCTCAAACCTGGGATATCAAGCGATAACAACAAACCCCTTAATCACTAAGATCGCTTGATTCGTAACCATCAAGAACATATGCTTTGATTACATATAAACAACAATATAAAACAGTATATTAGTTGTTTTTGTTACTTACCCTGTTCCATGATCCTCCATTGTTACTCAGAATGATCTCTTTTGTGACATATAAATTCTGTTTCCACATTTCCTTTAGAATAAAACAGTCCTCGATGGGCACTTTCAATGGTTTATTTGGTTTCGAGGTGCGGATAAAAATAGTGATGTATATTATAAGAATAGAAGATGATCATTAATCAGTTCGACAACCAATACGACCACACGAAAACCATCAAAATACCGAGTATATTAAAGATATGTCCAAGGTTAAAACAGGTAATATAAATTTATCTTCATAACTTCACCCAAGAGTACATATATATGAAATACAGCCCAAGTAAGAGAGTCATCACAGTGACTCTATATGGATGATCAAACTTCTTTTAAATTCTTAGCAAAGTGGTCGCTGTTAGTGGTGATCGTTGCTCCTAAAAACTGAGCAGAGGAGACACATTCCTTGCACAAGTAATTTGTTTATATGGATGTTGAGTTTTAAGGGAGAAATAACATAGCAACCCAAATTTTCGAGTCAGCATACGAGAGTTGATCTAAGGTGGCCTTGGGTCAATATAGGATCTTAATTGGACCCTTGAAGTGTGTTGGGCCTCATTTGGGTTGAGAATTGGGCCCAATTATGCCTAAAAAGGGGATTTCTATGAAAGCTCCAAGGTAGGGGACTAGAATAGTATTAATTACGTTACGGTAATTTTGTCGTTATAGTAATTTGTATAATTTATGTGTATATGTACCCAATTATATAATAAAATTTGATTTATCAAAAAAAAGAAAACTTATGTTGTATGTACATGAATAAAATAGTTTAGGACATTGATAACAAGTTAAAGGAAGGGGAAGAGAAAGCTGGTGTTGTAAGGATTAACAATTTTGATGGACTTAATAGAATAATAATGTAAAATATTGGATTTAAATTGAAATGGACTAATACATCAAGGGTATTGAAGT